GATCAAGGTCTCACAGATATCTTATTAAAAGGAGTTAGATTCAGAATAAAATGGTTGGGTTTTGAGTTCTGTCAGAATTGCAAAGAGTGATCTGCAGTAGTGACTTGCAGGCAATGATATTAAAAGTTGGAAAGGTCTTCACCTGAACTTTTAATGAAGCAAAAAATCATTCCCAAAGTTGTACTTAGAGTAATTACTGAGACGAGTGAGCTAGTTAAATCTTTAGCTTTAGTGATTCATACTATATGTACAGCTTACAATTGTTTAATAAAGCACATATAACTAACCTGACAGAGGGTTCAAAAAAAAAAAAAAAAAATTAATAAATAATTTTGTAATGAACTTTTAATAAATTTTTACAGAATAGTTAATGAATTATTTGACAAATTATTAATAAATTTTTTAACAATCTATTGTTAAACTTTTAATTACTAAATTTTTAATTACCGAATTTTTTGATTGTTGAATTTTTTGATTGCTAAATTTTTTATTGTCACTTTATTGTAGAAATAATAATATTTCAAGTGACAATAATCAAAAAGAATTTGGTAATATTTTTATTATTAAATTTAATCAAATTTGGCAATAATTCAACTGTCAAATAATATAATTTTGACTAGTAATAATATTGTTTCAAAATCTGACTTAGAATACTTATGTATAAAAATAAATTAGTTACTTTATGAAAGTTTATAAACTATTGTAGATTTTGTTTTGATTTTTCAATAAAAACAAGTCATCATGAAATAATTGTGGATTAAAAAAAAAAAAATAAAATAAACAATTTGATTTGACAATAAAAAATAAATAAATATATTTTTAATAAAAATTGTAAATTATAAAGATTATACAAACTAATAGCTTATTAGATAAAATATTTTCAAATTATAGCATTTTATATAATAATTTAAAATTTTCAATATCAGTTGTTTCTATCCTTTTAGAACTTCTAGATATAACAATTAGAATATTTAAATATAATATACAATATTTTTTTAAAAAATCAAAATATTCTATATATCGTATACAGTAAAAATTTATTTTTAAAATATGTTTGTTTAATAAAAATAAATAATTAAAATTTTATAACATAAATTAGGATATTTGATATATTAAATTAAAATGATAAAGGCTCAATATAATAATTTATTTTGCAGTATTTAATATACAGCGAATATTGTATACAATTGGAAAGTTTTACGCAACGCAGTGTAATAATTGTTCGTAATTGAAGTACATCTAAGATTTAATTTTGTTATTTTCATTTCAATAAAGATCACACAATCCTTCGTATCAAATAAATAGCATATTTCGTGCTGTGAATGGACCGAAGATAACTTAAAAAGATTCTATTGAAAAATATGTTCCTTAAATGTTCCTAATCCTTTGAAAACACAATAAATATTGATACAGCCATATATACTACATACTGAAAAAATAAAATTACAAGAATTCGAGATTCATCAAATCGGGCATATAAATACGGCATAAAGTCCTCTTTCTTTTAACCCCATCAAACCCTAATGACTTACATCTTCGCAATCAAACAAAATTTCAAATTCTTTGCTCTGAAGCTTAATCTGATTCAATTGTGGGATCAAAATATTTCGGTGTTGATTCATTTTCCCTTGATCCCATGTTTGTAGATCCTTTCCGCATTTTTGCCAATAATTTAGTTTATCGTGCATACCTTTTAATTCTCCTAGCATACGGGTTTGACGCAGAATTGCACTCTTGAGATCTCCAAGCACGAAATGCCCTGATGTTAACGCTGCAGCACCAACTGTTCCCATACCAGCAGCAATAAATTTCTATATAAGATCAAATGGAAAGGTGCCATTATGTAACGATCAATTTTGAAACCGTATTGATTTGAAAGAACATTAAACAATGCGGTAAGCATACCTCTGTCTTGGTTACAGTTTGGTTGTTGTGATGTTTATATGCGATGTATCCTGCACCCAAAGTTGCAGTAATTCCAAAAATACTATTAATTGAAAGGTGTGGATATAGAAAATCATATGTCAATACTCAACATTTGATCATGATTTTATATTATATCACACCTTATTTAAGGTCGTAATACTTACAAAGCCGAAAGCCACCACTTAACGGACAAACCTTTTTCTTGATCTTCCAATGTTTTAATCTCACTATCATATTCCACAGCTATGATTTTGATAGTATCCAACAGATTCTCAGCGGCAGTCAAAAAACCTTCAAGTCGCACTATTCCCAATGAAGAAGTAGTTCATGATGAGCAATTGTGCAATGTCCGCAATTGGTAATGTAATAGATTTAATAATTACGTACTTTGGAATTTACTATACTGTGATTGATCAAGATCATTCGCAAGAATTTTTAACATCCCCACAAGCCACTGTTCCATGTTGTTCAAGCATGAGATAAAAATGGTTTTCTTCTCTCGAAGAATTTCTCTAAACTTAGCATTGCTATCTTTGAGAACTTGATAAGACTTGTGAACTGCATACAAAGTGTTGATGAAGTTCCATAATACTATTGCAAGGCAAAATTTCTGATCTTTTATCTAAACAAATTGAAATATAAGTTATTTTCAAAATTTTTTATCCATTATAGTTATGCTTCAACTTACAATTTTCGGTAGACTTTTATCAATAAGACCTTGTAGCTTCCATAATACGAGTTTACAAATAAGACCTTTAATTTGATCAGGGGAGCTTATGTCTTCCTTGCCGACACTTTGACCGCGTACAAATTGTACAATGCTTAATTGGCTAAAGAATTCATCTCTTATGTCATAGAGATTTACGCTCATATCACTCCTTCTGAATACATAAAAAAATATCTTATTCAATGCTTCGTCACTGAGACCTTTGCGTTGTGAATTTATTTGTTCCGCTAAACTTTCCAACTCAGCAATTAAGCCGTTCTCGTCAATTTCCGGATATTCCTCACCATTGTTGGAATGATCTGTAGTAAATGTAGAAAGTTGTTTATAGGTATTCCCATAAACTAGTTGGTTGGTTACTTTGTCCGCTGGTATCCAGTCGCGAAGACCATTCCCGGAAAATTGGAAAAGATTTTGTGCTGCCCGTTGCAGATATCCAATTAGGTCCACATGAGTCTTACTAGAGAAATTAAATCTAACCTAATGCATAAACAAGCGATCATAAATGAAAAAAGGTTCTTATTTTTTTTCCAAGGATGAACATTATTCTCTAACCTTGGCACTTTCCCCATTATAATCAGACACATCCACTTCAAAGTACCCCTTATCCCTTGACGGAAAAAGAATGTCTAACAAGAGATTGACGTCAATTGGTCCCTATACACAGAATTTTCATCTCGTTTACTGATTTGCACTTTGACTTAAGTTCAGAGAGAGAAAGAAGAAATTTGCAGTACCTTCAACTTAAAAATTTTAAAGGAAGAAAATAAACTCCTTCTGTTCACTGATTGTTGAAGTTCGTTGTCTTCTAACAGCACGTAGTCATTGTTGTGATAAACTACAATTGGTTCAGCGTCTTGAGAACGTTGTTCCGAATATGAGTCCATGATTGCGTTTCTTCTATTATGTTAAACTATCAAGTCACGGAAAAGGTTTCTAAATCAATTGTTACATTGAATTCTAAATAGAGGTTAAGGCTGATCCTTACCATTCTTCTTGAAGCGCTCTCTGTTTTTTATAAATGATTATTTAATAAAGATAATATACTGTATATAGTTAGACTTTTAGACCTTTATATAGTTTTCAAGTTGTAAAAATTTGATACTTATATAGTTAAATTATATATACGGTATATATACTGTATATATATTTTTTTTTAAATACTGGCTTTGCCATACTTTATTGAAACTCATAGATAGAAGGAATTGAGTATAACTCAAACACCGTACATCCGAATTTTATTATCTAATAAAGTAGAAACAATAAAAGATCTCCTTTAAGGGTCACTTTACCTTGTGGTTAGGCCACCTCTTTAAAGACCAGAGGATTAGTGTATAGTTCCACTAATGTTGAAATAAATTTCAAATATGTATAAAAAGAAAAAGAAAAAAAAGTTGTGTTCCTAGTTGAGTTCTACTATTCAGAAAATTTATCGAAGTTTTAGATCCACTTGACAAAAATATGTTCAATACCCTATCAAACTTCTCAAACCAACTATTCTTATAAATAAGAGTGTAAGGCTGTACAAGCTTAAACAGGTGTGAAGATTTTGCATTACAAAAAAGGCACCAGAGGATTGAGGGAAATGGTTTGACTATTGTTTACCAGTTTTGGTCTCATTTCTTTCATATCCTATCTAGTATAGGATTTTCTATAGATGTTCTTCTGAGTGATGACAATTCGAGGGTTTCATAGGGATTCTAAGACATAGGGAAGGTGAGAAGAAAGGAAGAAAGTTTGGGACACATTATTTGCCAGTCTGTTCTTCTTTACCATTGCAATAATTCTATTCGAGAAAGGAGAATCTTGATACTTCCAGCATACACTCTGGCAAATTTAATAAATGCCATGCTATTTTTTCTAGAGTACTACTATCCATAGAAATTTAGCTATTGTCTATAGTCTTGACACATTCTTCAGATATTTTTGATTCAATGACTGCAAGTTGGTATTGATGATTAGGTGCGAATGATCCTAAGATCTCCCTGATCTCCTAATAAGCTTGTGATAAAAGATAGGTATGATACTTTTAAGGTATTGTCCTCATTCTATATTCCCTTGAATCTTGCCTTTATCTATTTTTCTAGATAGGTGAGAAGGGGGTATATTCCTTTTCTTTCGCTTCATCAATGATGTAAAAGTTGATAGTGTTCCTTATTCACTTGCACCAACCTAAATAACTTATGATGGATCTTAGGTTCTTATGGAACTAAGGAAATACATTCGAATACATAAGGTGACTAATGGAAGCTTGTTTACTTTTTTTTTCCTGATATGTAAAGTTATGTCCAATCATGATACAAGAAACTTTGTGCTATTCAAAATTCAGAATTAAACTGAAGTAGACAAAATTTTTCAGAAAATCTTGAAATGAGTACTCTTATAGCCAATAAGAGATAACAAGAGGAAGAAATAACATCAGGAAATTTTTTTGACAAAGATATCTGGAGATTTTTGGGCATAAAACTCCAGAGGTACTTTGTTATCGTTAGAAGTCTCCAGAGAGAAGATTTATATATAGATCTCTGGAGAATTTTGAATGGTTTAAATTGTAATAAATCAATTATTAAAATATTTATTTTTAAAAATTTATTTATTTAAAATTATTTTTTTTATATATTTTTATTAATCAATTACATTTATATCACTTATTGCCAAAGTAGATCTTTCTATTTCTATATTTTCCAATTGCAATTTTGAATCATTTTCATCATTTTCTATTTCCTCCAGAGTACTTTAAAATTCAGAATCTTCATGCTTATACATTTCTTGATCTTTATCACTTGAATTTCTTTCTGTAAATCTGATTTTCTTTTTAATTTTTTCCTAAAATATTTTATTAGTAAACAAATAACTCTATAAAACTTCAAAGAATTTTAAAACTTACCTTATTTTTTTCTATTTTGCTTTTAATTAATACTTCATTAATTAAAGTACTTTCATTATGCAGATTTAGAATTGTTTGACATATTGCAATAGTGAATGCAACTTGTTCCTTGAAGGCATCCCTTTTGATCAGACTTTTTCAAGAATGTGTATTATCATGCTTTGGTTTTCTTCATAGAACAGATATGAAAATTTTCAAAGCACTCCAGGATTTTTTGTAAATTTTTCCAGGCTATAATTTCGATAGCAGTTGCATTTGTATTGATTGTATCCAGAGAGTTTTCATTGAAGACTGAAAATATGGCATCTCAGATTTTTGAAGCTGTGATCCCTCAAAGCGATCTGTATTGTTGCACAAGCTATTAAATGGTGAAATGGAAGCTCAGCCTCGTTTATTAACTTGATAATATAATTTACAAATTTAATTACAGGGAATATATATTTTTATCATTCATGTTGATAAACATTCTTAGAACCCTACTTTTAAAGGATCCACCGGATGACCTATTGTCCAGAAATATCTGGTTGGATTAAATTTCTACTACTACCTATCTAGAAAATCTAGACACTTCTATTTTTGGATCTTCAATTCTTTTGGATTCCTCCTAACTAACTTGCCAGGCTTGACTTGCTAATTCCGTGAAAGGAGAAGTACATCTTTCAAATGGTTCTGATGGATGTGGCTCAGTTACCAGTATTGATACCTTTTCCAAATTTGTTTGTATTTAGTCATGTTGATTGTGTCTTTTATAGGAAGAAAAACCTGCTTAGAACCAAAAATAGGAAAATCCTGTTTATATGAAATCAGAATGAAAATAATTGATGTTTTCTTAGATCTAATTGTGTTTTGCATCATAGACAGTTTTTTTATTCTATAAATCTTTCATATAGACCTCATGTGATATTAAACTATGGACCTTGTGATTGTGACATGAGAGCACTACTACTGTACTATAGACCCATAGGTCTGTACAAGCTATTAAATAAATAATTTTTTTTTTTTTTTTAACCCACAATCATGCCACAATGACATGTCTTTATTGAGATATTGAGAAATACCTAAATATTTTACAGACTTTCACAAAGTGACTAACTTGTC